TTAAACGAAATAAACATTTGAAATATATGAGTTTGTATGTAATGTATGAATATAATATACAAGTTTCACTTTTTAAATGGAATTACTGAAATAAATCTACTTTTTCATGATATTCTAATTTTATGACCAGCACCTGTATATATATACAGTATATGTATGTATGATGTATGTATGTATGTATGTATGTATGTATGTATGTATGTATGTATGTATGTATGTATGTATTTATATAGCTTTAGTTCTCAAGCTAATAATGCTAGCTCGGGAACTAATGCCATATTTAAATTAGTTTACATATAGCTAATGCTATTTCACCATATGTATATGAATTAGCTTGAGTGCTAATACAAATACTAGCTGATGTTCTCCTTCCATGAAGCAGCTCTTGTCCTCCATCCACATTTTCAGTTGCAGGCTGAGTCATTTCTACATTTTCCTCTCTGTCAATGTGCTCTTGTTTCATTTAAAAGGGCTAAACATAAGTAAATGTTTATCAAATAGTGTCTAATGTTACAACTAATCAGGATTCCTGTCAAATATACACAACATTTAGGATTTGTAAAAAGAAAAAAAAAGTTGTGAATCCCCTCATCCCCTCACCTGCCAAAGGTGTTGACCATGGTTCCAACAGAGAAGGAGCCGATCATGCCCCCCACACTGAAGATGGCCACAGCAAAGCTCCACACCATGGTGATGGATCCTGCGGAAAAGGACTCTCCGTATCGTTCAGCCGAAACATTCTTGAAAAAACCTCGCAGTTTCTGCCAAAGAAAATTAAAAATAAAATGAGACTGGGTTTTTGTTGGGGAGGAGTTTTAAACACTCCCACGTGAGGGCAGTAAAGCTTTGTGAGTGACAAGGAAAATTGAAACTCTTGTCTTGCACAATTCTGATTTCGATCACAATGAAGTGCTTTACGAAAATACTGAAACTCCTAATGCCTCTGATAAATTCAGCGTTGACTCCCACACACCTGCTCAGGTGCGTTGATGACCCCAGTATTGTAGCCGAACTGCAGCGAGCCGATGACTGCTGTGGAAACACAGTAGAGGAGGTAAGGAGTCAGCTTCTTCTTGGACTGTGGAGACAGAAAAAAAAAAAAAGACAGAACGTTATGATATTTCTCTGCAATGAGCAGGATGGAGCTCATGTACAATCACTCTCTCAGTCTGAGTGATGGATTGTTCTGGATCCTGCCTCTACAAAGCTCTGATTGTCCACAAAGACAGTGGTAAATTACACACAACAAGCCTTTTTACAAACACTTGTAGCAAATGGTGAAAAGGGATGAGTCATGGGCCTAAAATATAAAGTCATATTTTAGATAGCAGAGGATGGAGAGGAGTGGAAACCCTTAATCTGACTAAGTTCTGCTGAGTACCAGGTTTATCTTTTAATAACCCAAAATAAATGTGAAATAATTTTGACAGCAAACGATAATGAGTAAGGATCTGGAAGTGCCAGAGACGTGGAGTTAGTGTTTCCTGATCAGTCGTGTGCAACAGAACTCTTCTCCTGTCTTTGGTTCTGTTTAATCTGAGAGAGAGGAAGAACTAAGATAATTATAATGATGGCAGAGATGGTTTGATGACTTGGTTTGGCTCCTATAGGGTCCAGTTTAAATCAGCTGACCAATGGGAGAACAACATCTCTCCTCCCTCTGCACTTTGTCTGAAGGACATTTACCAAGAAACCAAATGTTTAAACTTCAAAATGTAACTTACTAAGATTCATGAACATTCTGAAGGATTTTAAGGACGATTTATTTCCAATGAGAAAAAAAGGCAGAAAAAGCTAAATATATCAAGAAGTATGAATTCCTGAATAAACAAAAGTTATAGCCGGAATATTTTGAATGAGCTGAATGCTTTGATTGTTGAAATAGCACGAACATCGCAGAATGAGATACATGAAGAAAAATGTACGGAAGAAAAAAATGATCTCAATAGTCTGAATGTTTTAGAAGTTTTCACACTATTGTGTTGTTTTCATGAGTTCTGTGTTCATTCAAAGTTGACTGAACGTTAGGAGCACCCAGAAAGAGCCATGCAGTCAGGGCCAAGCATCAGATACAGGATTTTGTTTTAGGCTCCAGGCTCCATGATTTGTAGCTGAGGTGTTTCTCAGATAAGTAGCTTAAGGCCAAAATAAATAAATAAATAAATATTTTAAAAAGTGTCCTTTAGTGAATGTTTTTTTAATCCTGCTGGTTTGGGAATTAAAGTGGGCTTAGCTAAAAATAAAAAATAAAAAAACTGATCAAAACCAGTTTGACACGGCAGGGTTGACGAAGAAGTGGGATTTCTAACATGTAAAAGTCTCCAACCGAGCAGAACTGAAATCCCCAAAAACCTAGTTTCAGTTTTATTTCAAACGCCACGTGAAACAGGACAGTAGCAACGGGTCTGAATGAAATTAAAAAACTTCAAGTCATTCAGTGTAACCAAAGCGTTTCCAGCTACTGCTGATTCAGCTTCAGAAACATACCTGAATGAGCAGAGAGCTCAGTTTGTATTTTTATCACCTGAACACTTTAAATAAACCCAACAGTTTGTTCCTGGGTTTATTCAGAACAAACTGACTCAGTGAGGCTCAGAAGCTCCACCAAAAACAAACTGCCTGTTCCTACATGTAGTCAGCTCGTTTGATTTTTTTAACCCAGAGATCCTTTCTGACGGAGTGAGCATCGGTACTTAAAAATAACAATAATCAGCTTTTTAACACATTTGGCATCCCTATCAGGAGCGTTTTAAGCGTTATAAAGCAACAAACAGCTCAAAGTCACGCAGGAGGAAGTCATGAATTTCTTAAAATACTGACAGTGAGCTGATAATAGAGAACAACACAGCTGCAGCTGATAACCCTGCTCCACCAAATACTAAGGCCTAAAAATACTTTTCTACACTCTGGTGTTCCAGTGACGTGAAATACTGCTGCAGCGTTTTGAACATCTCAGCTCCCTGTCACACCCAAGCATGAAAAAAAAAACGTGTTCTGATTCATATGACTGCACAGAAGAAATGAAAACAGAAACAACCAGCATGCCTTGTAGCAGTGCCAAATGTTTTAAATCTAGATGTGTGATCTGCTGGTGCTCAGAGTAAGTGTTGCAGATGACTCTCAGGTACTACCATGCCAGGTTTATGCTCAGTGTTTGCAAAATTGACTGATTAATGACCGTTGTTCTGTTTCAAAGTTTTATGAGCTGTGGTGGCCATCTTGAATTTAGCTGGTTTCAAAAGTGAATCAGATGTAGGCACGCATCCAGTAATTAACTTCTGAAAGCTTCATTAAAAACCATCCAAACGTTCGTGAGATATTTTGCTAACAGACGGACAGCACTGACTACAACAGTTAACGCTGAAGTTTTAAGTGAAGATCTTAATCGATTTGTTGGTGTTTAAAATATATTTCGGGAATGACTCAGCTACTACCACACCAAATTTTATGTCGATATCTGTAAAACTGACTGAGCCACGCCCATTTTTGTGTTCACTAAAGTCAATCAACTGTGGCGACCATTTAAAATGAGAGAGACTCTGAGAGCAAATCAGCCGTAGATGTACATCTAATGGTTACTTTTTGAGAGTTTCATTAAAATCCATCCACTGACTCATGAGATATTTTGCTAACAAGACAATGGAAGTTGCAGGATTGACCACCTTTGAGACTGAGCAGAGCTTATGTGTGTTGAATTCATGTTCAGGGCGATGCTGAGGAGGATTTGGACACAAATATCAGCTGGCTTAATTAAAGAGTGGCCACCTGAATAAGGAGCACAGAACATACGATCAGGCTCAGGGATTGTACCGACATGTTTTCAGGCTTGTGGTTGCAAAGACCTGCAGCCATTGCAGCTCGTTCACATGTCACGTAGGTTTCCTTTCATAACCAAAAGGGGGGAAAGTGATGCAACGTCTGCTGCTGCTGTGTTCTTAACAAGATGCAGGTACCAAAAAGTGTTGTAATAATGCCATGTTTAAGTTCTCAATTCTCAAATGTGAAAAGTAAAAACTGTGCATCCTCTCTGCTCATGTTTTCTAGATTCATTGGGGTTTAAAAAGTCAAGAAAAGCCAAATAAATCTTCAACTCACTACTGTATATAAAACATCACATCATCAGCAACAATCATTGACTCTGCTGCTGTTAGAGAAGCCTGCAGCTAACCTGCTGCACATATTTAGACTGATACATTTGTAGAAATTGCTTATTTGTTATTATTATTTTTATTTTTCTAAGAGTGACAAACTTGTAGCGTTGTTGCCTGTTTGGTGAAAATACAGCAACTTTCCCTGTGTTTTTGAAACATTCTGATTGTGAACAGGCAATAAATTTAAACATAAGCTTTAGGTTTTTAAATGCAACATTTAAAGTATTTTTACTACTTTTTAAAGCAGCCCTTTTTTGATCTTTAAGAAGCCTGGCAAAGAAAAGGGTCAAATTTGCTAGAAACATTGTGTTTTCTTTTTTAAACTGCAAAAAAAAAAAAGCCATAAAACTTAATATTTTTTAGTAAAATCTTCTCTTTTATGAACTTATTTCAATATTTTTCTTTTCTTTTCTTTTTGTCAAGGTGTTAATACAAATTAGGATTAGGGCCATGGTGCAAAAAATAAACTTACTTTTGATTTTAGAACTTAGATTATTTTTTACATAATTATAAACACACACACACACAGGTTTGTATTTCTATCCTTATTAGGACCGTTCATTGACTTCCATTCATTTCCAGTAATTTCTACAGCCTAACCCTGACCACAAACCCTAAGGCTAACCTCACAGGTACCTGACCTTAAAACTAACATAAACTCAATTCACACCTTGGTCCTAAACCAAACCCCCAACCCAAAAATGGAGTTCCACCGTTTTAGGACCGGTCTTTGGTCGCCATTAGGACTACTGGTCTTGACAAGGTGTGTATACTGGAAACGGTCCTAAATAGGTAACAAAAACAAGTACACACACACACACACACACACAC